CCGGCCCCGCTGACCAATCCAGAGGAGTGGCTCGCAGGCCCCGGACACACCTCCCAGAAGGACCGAGGAGCAGTTCGAAGGGGCGGTCGGGGTGCGCCCCGGGACAGCAGGCTTGTCCTGGGGCGGCGGCTAGAGCAGAGAATCCAGCGCTTCTGCAGGGACCCAGCCTCAGCCTGGGCTCAGTGGAGGGGCGCTCGCCTGGCACCTGTGCGGCCCTGGATCTGATCCTCAGCAATGCATATAATTAAATAAAATAAAGGTCCATCATCAACTAAAAAATATATTCAAAAAAATGTCTTTTACAGGGATCTGGAGAGTTTTTACAGTTATCACCAACATGTTTCCTGTAACACACAGTTTCTTGCCTGTCCAGGTGTAAGAGACTTGGGTTCCTCCAAGTACCCTCCACTGCGGACAGCCCGCCTGTAGGCGGCGGGAATAGGCTGCAAAACGTCCACAGGTGATTTCAGGGAGGGGCGCTTGCTGGGTCACCCTAAGTCACTTTGTTTATGCAGAAAGATAATGGAGTTCATATTAAAGAGTGTTTTAGGACCCTTTTACTAGGAGTGACACCATAAATGTAATAACTATAAAAATACTTTATTGTGATGTGTATATTTTGTGCGCTATTCCATAATCTTATTTCACTTTGGAGAAATGACCAAGGAATAAAATAACTCTTAAAACATTTTTATAAGCAGTGAATTATAAATTCCATTCCCTATATATATGCTAATTAGAATTCCATTACAACCAAATGAGTGTCTTCAGTCAGCCTGAATTAGTATGGCTGTTCTGATTTGAAACAAAAGAACAACAAAAAAAATCAGAAACATCAGATTTTTATCACTTCGTCCCCTCAGAAAGGTGATTGAGCCACTGAGGTGCATCCCAGTCTTTTTTATTTTATTGGAGGCAGTCTGAGTTGCCCAGGCTGGCCATACCCTTCTCAAGCTGGAGGTCACAGGCATCTGCTGCCATGCCTGGCTGAAATATATATTTTTTTCTTTTACACCAAAACTTCCCGTCAGTGTGTCTGAACAGCTTATGGGTGTCAGGAGAGATGCAAGTCAGTGTGGCTTCATGGCCAACCCATAAGACGTGCAAACAGCACTTCATGGAAAATTAACTTTTTGCCAAACATGGCATTTGGGTGTTTGTTTTGGTTTTTGCAGTGACTTTAAATGTGTGCAGAAAACATTAATAGGTGTCAGTTCCATGTGGTACCAACAGTCACCTTTCTGAATCACTTTGGGTGGTAAATGAGAGCACTGGAGTAGGAGTCTTGATTTGTCCCAGGCCCTGGTGCTAGTCTCTCCACTCACTCTATGGCCCTGAGTAAGTCCCCAGTTCTTTGAACTTGACTTTGTCATCTGTTGAGTAGGGCAGCTGGACTAGCCCAGTGGTTCTCAACCAAGGGTCATTTTACCACCTACCCACCCTTGTCCCCAAGAGGATATTGGGTAATGTCTGGAGACATTTGCTTGTCGCACTACTGGACAGGGAGGGGCATAGTGAGTGAGGGCAGGTTCTAAGGGCATCTTTTTACTGTGGACCAGAAATGCCACAAACATCCTAAAAGTACACTGGACAACCTACACACAGCACAATATCATCTTACTGAGAATGTCAGTGGTGTGCACTACAGGAGCCTGCACTGTCCAGACTTTGACACCAACAGCTGAGCAGCTCCACCCAACACGCTCTCCTCAGTGGTTGTGTGCTAAACAGTGACTCATTAAACACGAAACTCGCCTGTGACCCCGTCAGACCTGTAGAGTGATGAACTCGCCTGAGTCAGGGTGGAGGTCCTTCCTGTGGACTTGAAAAGCAAAATATAATTGTTACCTAAAAATACATCTTGTCACCTTTATTTCAAGTTAATATCCTTCATTAGCCACTTGACATAGTCCCAATAGTGTTTTAAAAACTATAACATATCTAATATTTACCATATTAGATATGTTATATATAGTTTTTAAAACACTATTGGGACTCAATATTTAAAGTTTAAAAAATATATTGCCAGCCCTTTTTATTTTTATACTATGAGATAGGGTCTCTATAAGTTGCTGAGGGTGACTCTGAACTTGTGATTGTCCTGCCTTCTGAGTCACCAGGATTACAGGCTTATGCCACAAGCCCAGCTTATATTTTTATTTTACATAGTTATAAAAGCTTATTATTTCACATAGTTATAAATAGTTGCCAGCTATGATCATAGATAAACAAGAAGAGGAAAACAAGATACTTTACTTAATATCTTTTTTTTAAAGAACTTGTTAGAAGAGTTCTCCAAATGTTATCAAAGAATTATTCGGTTCCCAGTTATTAAAATTTCTTTCTCACTTTCAAAATCCTAATAGTACCATTAAAACTGACTTGATGCTCATAGTCACAGCTACCCAGAAAGTTGAGGCAGGCAGATCACTTGGTCCCAAGAGTTCAAAGCCAGCCTGGGCGACATAGATCCTGTCTCAAGGGGGTGGGGGATCACATCACCATGGACAGTTCTTTATGAATTCTGAATCCTGACGTTCTAATCAAGCACAGTGGCACATACCTGTAATCCCAACAGTGGGAGGCTGAGGCAGAAGGATCTTGAGTTTGAGGCTAGCCTCAGCAACTTAGCAAGATCCTGTGACAAAATAAATGGGGGGAAAAAAAAAGGTCTAAAGCTGCAGCTCAGTTCTAAAGCACCCCAGGGCTCAAGCCTGGAACCAAAAGGAGGAAAGAGAAGTTTATAAACCTATGTCGTTACTTTTTTTGTCTTGTTACTTTAAAAACGAGTACAACTATATATTTTAAAACAACTCAAAACTAAGAGAGATGATATATGACATACATTTTACTCATCAAGTTCTTCCTAAATTGGTTCTGATGTACAATTATTATCTTGAGCACATATTTTTAAGCAAACCTTTTAAAATCTATACACTGGTACTGAAATTAAGCTTAGTTTGAATATATACAGTATAATGTAAATACTTCAGGAGATTTAGTTTACAAGGTCATATTTTTTTGCAAAAATTAGCATAATACAGGCATATCTGAAGCAAAATTTAAATATTCACCCCTATCTTATTCCCATTAAATTTACTGTGTACCTTTTTAGATTTTTTTTTTCTTTATCAGTACTGGGGACTGAACCTAGAGGTGTTCTAACAGTGAGCTGCGTCCCCAGTGCTTATTACTTTGAGACAGGGTCTTAGAGCTCAGCCTCGGCTTCCTGAGTGCTGGGATTATAGGAGCGCACCCTTACACAGCCTTCAGGTTTTCTCTGCACAATTTTAGCTAGCACATAGATTGGATTGTCAAATCAGGCTCACATGAGTCAGTAATAAAAGCCAGGATTAAGGTTTAGTGATTATTTAAAGGATACAGGCAACTGGGAGATTCCAGTGAATCAGAAGAGCATGTGGTACATGAAAGCTCTCTCCAGGCTATGTCCCCTAGTTGGTCCTGTGTCCCTGACCCAGGATAATAGATAAGGTTTTTAAGTGAGTTTCACTTCACAAGGTGGATTGTGAATCAGCTTCTTGTAGTATGGCTTATGTGATGTTATTCACAAAACAGTGCCTTATCAATTTTGGATTTACTTACTGCCAGTGACTCTTTGCCAGGGACATCTTACTAATGGGACTCGGAGAGGGGGTTTTTTCCTCCTAGCAACTACCATTAAGCTCTTTTTCCCCCATTATTTTTTTATTGGTGCTTTATAATTGCACATAATGGAAGGATTTGTTGTTAAATATTCTTAGTTGCTATGATCAGGCTCTTAATTCCGGGGCCCAGGAGACCTGGAGGCTAGGAATTCCCGTGTCTAGGTGCCAGCCTTTGTCAAAGACCTTCTTGCTACATCATTCCAGGGCAGAGGGCAGCCATGTGTGGAGGGATCACACTACGACCTGACCCCCTGTATAACTGGTATCAATCTCTTGTGAAGGAGAAGCCCTCCTGACCTCAAACCTCCCTTTAGGCCCCTGCCTCCCAACACGGTTGCTTTGGGAATTAAGTTTTCCACACATTTTAGGGGAACATGTTAAGACCATAGTAGATCCTAATTATAAACTGGCAAACTTCTGTAAAATAAATTTAAACTGTTAGGAACTTTATATTGAAGTTCAATTCTCAGTATTAATGTAGTCGTTTTGGGATAAAATACTTATTATGAGGAAAAAATGTTTCGCACATGTTCTAGAAGTTATATGTAAAGTATAGCTTTAAGGGGCTTGAGGAGCCTATTCAATGAGATTTGTGTGGGTACATTTATAGCAACTGTGGGGAGGACATTAGTGCTGTGGGGTCATCTTGGAGTGTCTGCAGGGGATTGGACCTCCCCAAATAGAGCAAAATCCACAGTCCTTCAACTGTGTCTGATAAAATGCCATGGTATCTACACACAGCCCGCACATATCCTTCAGTGCTGTAAGTCACCTCTAGATGCTCATATACCAGATACATGTAGATGCTTGTAATCAGTGGAGATACTATATTGTTTAGGAAATAACAAGAAAAAAAAAGGTCTGTACGTGTTCGGATAGACATTCAAACACATCCAACTACGGTCGGTTGGGTCCGAGGATGTGGACCCACAGACATGGAGGGCCTGCTGCAGCTGAAGTCAGCAGCACCATAAAGTGGGCTACATTTCTTGTGATTGCTCTAAAACAAAACACCAGGATGATCTCTTACTCTTCAATATCGGTATTCCAGATCACGTCCCAGAAGTCCAGGTCCCACAATGCCCCTTAACCTTTCCTTCAGAGCAGTATTCTGAACCAAATCAAAATGTGTCCGTATTAGAGATTTACTAAATGTTTTCACATTAAAATTGCTGTTCTAATGAGCACAAGAAGCTATTGCTGTCACCAGTAAGCACTTGGGAAATGAAGATTTGGGATGGTTCACAAAATGATGCTACTAGCTGAAGGTCAGAAACATTGCCTTAGGTGTTTAATCTGATCCTCTGTCTTTGCCTCCCTTTACTTCCTCTATAGGGACCACGTTAAATGAACAAAGACTGAACTGTCACAGATACTTTTTTATAAAAGGCCTCCGTGGACTATTGCTTCAGTCTGACTGATAAACAAGTTCCTATGATGAGGTAGGTCGAACATAAAGAGAACAGGACCTCCAGAAGCTTAAATGGAGCAGGGAACTTCAGAGTGTCATCTATTTAATCCTTACAAGAACCCTGTGAAGGAGGTGCCCCTGTCCTCTTGACAGATGGTGGGACTGGCTCAAGAGTGACTTACCCCTTTGGAATTAGGGTTTAAACTCAAGTCTTCGTAACTCCAAAATTCTTTTGCTTTCCCCATGTCTTCCACTGGATCCAGAAAGCCCCTGAATCCTTAGTTCTTATAGTATCATAAAGCTTGAGCAGGAACCTATTAATCTGGATCAAGGCCCAAAAAAGGCTTCCCTTGTAGTAGTTGAAGGTTATGAATATGATATGTAGCAGTCTCACCCTTGACCTAGGCTTTTGTGTGTGTTTTTTGTTTAGAATGTTTATTCTTAGAATATAAGAGTGTTAAAAACAGAAGGTAAACATTTACTAGTCAGTCAGGCACGGTGGCACACATCTGTAATCCCAGAAACTTGGGAGGCTGAGGCAGGAAGATCACAAGTTCCAGGCCAGCCTCAGCAACTTAGCAAGACACTGTCTCAAAAACTAAAAATGGCTGAGGAAGTGGCTCAGTGGTAAAGCATCCCTGGATTTAATCCCCGGTAACCAAAAAAAAAAAAAAACACACAAAATCCATTGGCCCTGTTTTCTTAGTTTATAGCCAAAGAAACTGAGATCCAGAAGAGAGGGATTCTCCTTAACTAGTCATGGGCATGACAGAGCCTGCAGGTGAGATGCAATCCTGCCCGTGCCCATTCCCTTTGTGGGTGGGGCTCCCTGTGTAGTCTTCCCTGCTTGGGGATCTCCTGGAGAAAGGGCGGTCTTGTACTCTCCTGCTTTGCCTAGCACAGGAAGCCATCTTTCCCACGCTGACCCTTTCAATCTCGTAAGACCGGACAAGCTGTTGGATCTCTTAGGTCTGGTACCTGCAGACCAGGAGTACTGGACACATTTACTGACCTGAAGCACAAAGCCAGCTCTGCAGCTCTGAAGAGTAGCTCTATTTTCACCCACCAGTGAGCTTGTAGGAACTGCGGTTTAGTTCATGTAAGGCTGAGATAGAGCACCATGATTGCAGGCACGTCTTGGCCTGGGATCGAGTAGACTCAGGTCTCCGCTCTCCTATGACTTGTTACCTCTCTGTTCTCTCAACCTGCAGAGTGGGGTTGATGATCTGTGTGTTGCCATAGTTGTGAGTATGTCTAGTCTGATCCTTTCCCCACAGCAAAAGCCAGGACTGTTGAAGACATAACCACAAGATTCTACAACTATAAAGTAACAGTCAATGTAGGAAGGCATGTAAATACAAGACAATAAAAACCACTTGCAGCTGTACTCTGAAAATGTTTGCATCTCCTTCTCCCTATATCAACGCTTTAGTTACATGGTCAGTTTAAACTAATTTGGAGATTTGCCCTGGCTTAAACCTCCAGAGGCCTCTTCATCCTACTTACGGGAGATTGGAGATAGGCAGTGCCAGGCACCTGCAACAGCTCCATGATGTGTGTCATGGAGAGGACCAGATGGGTCCTTGGGGCACTGGCTCCCCTCCCCATGCCCAGGATGCTGAGCTCCGCCCAGGTGTCTCATTCCAGCAGCAGGAGGAAGGAGCTCTGCTGCAGCCCTACATGGCCTTAAGCTTTCTTTCAGAATTTATTCAGATGACCGAATCTTTAAGAGTGGCCAGGAAATGTCATCTTCTAACTAGACATATTGCCTAAAGTTTGTTACTAAGGAAGGGCAAAGTATTTTGAGAAGCATCTAGTCATTTCTCATAAGTTGGAACATAGCTAGGTACAGTGACACATGCCTGTGATCTCAGTGATTTAGAAGCCGAGGCAGGAGGATCACAAGTTTAGGGCCAGCCTGGGCAACTTAACAAGACCCTGTGTTAAAGTAAAAAATGATAAAGACTTGAGGATATAGCCAGTGGTAAAAACCCCCTGGTTCAAGAAACAAAAACCAATAAAAACATAAAAATTAATGGCTTCTAAAGCTGGCCATGGGCACAAACTTATAGTCCCCACTACATGGGAGGCTGAGGCAGGAGGATCTCTTGAGATCAAGAGTTCGGTCCAGCCTAGGTAACATAGCAAGTCTATGTCTTTTTTTTTTTTTTTTTTTTGGGGGGGGGAACCAGAGATTGAACTCCAGGGCACTCAACCACTGAGCCACATCCCCAGCTCTATTTTGTATTTTGTTTAGAGACAGGGTCTCACTGAGTTGCTTAGCACTCAAATTTTGTTAAGGCTGGTTTTGAACTCACGATCCTCCTGTCTCAGCCTCCTGAGCTCCTTGGACCACAAGCATGCACCACTACACCTGGCTAAGACTCTGTCTCAAGAAAAAAGAGGGGCTGGGGTTGTGGCTTGCCTAGCATGTGTGAAGCACTGGGTTAGACCCTCAGCATCACATATAAATAAATAAAAGATATTGTGTTTAAAAAAAGAGAAAGAAAAAGAAAGAAAGAAAACCGACTGACTTCTAAATTGGAGGACTCTTTCTCCCGACTCCCCTTCCCCCTCCCCCAGTACTGGGGTACTCTACTACCGAACTTCATCTTGGCTCTTTTTATTGTTTGAGACAGGATCTGCTAAATTGGGCAGGCTAGACTCAAATTTTCAATCTCTTGCCTCAGCCTCCTTAATCCCTGGGATTATAGGTATGTGCCACAATGCCTAGCTTGAATTGTTTAATTTTTTTAATTTTTTAATTATAGATGGACACAATGTCTTTATTTTACTTTATATCATGCTGAGGATCAAACCCAGTGCCTCACGAAGAACTGCCAGGCAGAACTATCAGGTGGCCGCTCTACTTGTAAACCACAACCCCACCCAAATTTTTGTTTTTAATTGAACCCAGGGGCACTCCACCACTGAGTCACATCCCCAGCTCTATTTTGTATTTTATTTAGAGACAGGGACTCACTGAGTTGCTTAGGGCCTCACTAAGTTGCTGACTTTGAACTCACAATCCTGTCTCAGCCTCCCAAGCTGCTGAGATTACAAGCATGTGACATCTCGCCTGGCTCCAAATTATTTAATCTTTATAACAAAATTGTGCTTTGTTCCAGGTGAGCAAGAATAGAGTATTACACAATACAGAGTTGTAATCTTCTGCATCATGTTTTTTAGCTCACAGATTCTTGCACAGCCTCACTATTTGAAGAAAGTTCATTCTGAAAATCTGAAGCAGTTAATGGGTAAATATGATCAGGTATCTCCACCAAGTTCTCAGCCTGAGAAGGGTAAGCTTTTGTTCACCTCTTCATCCCCATCTGTGCCCTCTGCAGTGTTTGGGGACCAGCTTCTTTCACTTAGTATAGTGTCCTCATGTTCCTCTACGACATACTATGTATCAGTACTGCATTCCTTTTTATCGTTGAATAATATTCCATTGTATGAATGTACCACATTTTGTTTTAGTTGATGGAAATTGGGATTGTTTCCACTTTGTATTACTAATAGTATTTATTCCATTGCACAGTCGTAACACCATTTAGCTTATCCATTCACCTATTAATGACATTTTCTTTCTTTCTGGAGCTGTTACAAATGAAATTACTGTAAACATTGATGTCCAAGCCTTTGTGTAGACATAGATCTCCTTTTCTTTGGAGTAAATATCTAGGAGTGATATAAACTGGATCATTTGGTAAATGTATGTGTGACTTCTTAAGAAACTGCCTGTGATGGTTTGAATGTGAGGTGTCCCCCCAAAGCTCATGTGTGAGACAATGCAAAGAGGCTTAGAGGATCATGAGAGTCTTACCAAGTTAGTGAACTACTCCCTGATGGGATGAGCTGTGTGGTAGGGTGTGGCTGGCGAAGATGGGAGATGGGAGGTGGGTGTGCCCTTGAGGTATATTTTTGCACCTGGTGAGTGGAGTCTCTGCTTCCTGACATAATTCCTGAGCCCCTTCCTCCGCCACACTCTTCCAGCCTCACCTTGTGCCCTGAGGAAGGAGCCAGCTGTCTGTGGACTGAGACCTCTGAAAACGTGAGCCCCCAATTACACTTTTTCTCCTTAAAATTGCTCTTGCCAGGTCTTTTGGTCACAGCAACAAAAAAGCTGACTGAAGCTCTGCCAGACTAGTGAGTTGCAGTAGCCACGCCTGTGGTCCCAATGGACCAGGCTGAAGCAGGAGGATCACAAGTTCAAGGCCGACCTGGACAACTTAATCCTGTCTCGAAATATAAAATAAAAAGGACTTGGGGGGCTGGGGCTGGGGCTCAGCAGTAAAGCACTCACCTAGCATGTTTCGAGGCCCTGGGTCTGATCCTCGGCACCACATAAAAATAAATAAAATAAAGATATTGTTTATCTACCTACAACTGAAAAGTAAATTTTAAAAAAAGGACTGAGGATTATGTAGCTCTGTGGTAGAACACCTCTGGGCTTAGCCCCAATGCCTGATTTCAAAGTGATGGTGCCCTTTTCTACCCCTCAGCCCCTCCCAGGAGCTCCAGCTGTCCACTCTCATGAGAGGGGCACTGCAGTCTTCACTTCAGGCCATCTTCACTTCAGGCGTCCTGGAGGGTGGGGATGGCTCCCTGTGGTTTCACTTCACGTTTCCCTTTTCTTTCCTTTTTTTTTTTTTTTAAATAATAACACTAGGGATTGAACTGAGGGATGTATGCTTTACCACTGGACTACATCACTAGCCCTTTTTAGTGTTTGAGACAGAGTCTTGCCAAGTTGCTTAGTGCCTCACCAAGTTGCTAAGGCTGGCCTCAAACTTGTGATCCTCCTGCCTCAGCCTCCCAAGTCCCTGGGATTATAGGCATGGGCCACTGCACCAGCTTAGTTCACATTTTCTTTTTATTTTTTTTTTCCTGTATTTTCTATTGGTGCATTATAGGGGTACATAATGGTGAGGTTTGTCTTTACATAGTTTACATTTTCTTGATATTGATCTTCAACATCTTTTCATGTGTTTATTGGCCATTTCTATTTATTCTTTTCAGAAATATTTCTTAAAATAGTTTGCCTATATTTAACCATTTGTTATTTTATTATCCTAGTCAGAATTTTTGTGCTATTTACATGGAATAGGAGCTGATTTTTGTAACTCACCCAATTGGGTTTCATTTAGAGAAAAGTGGATTTCATTGGCAAGAGAAGAGCTGGTCAGCAGTGACTCTAGAGTGCTGTGTGGCTTGCTCTTGTGAAAGGGGAAATGCAGCTCTGCACAGGGTTACTGCTGTCTCCTGCCTTACAGGTGAAACCTCACCGATAGCACCCAGGGCATTATCATTCCCTAGTGTACTTTCTGCTGCTTAATCAGGGCTTGAGGTGGAAGAAGAGAGAGAATCAGGAATCCTGTTGCTTGTCCCCTCTCCCCTGCAAAAAGAATCTGACAAACAAGCAGAAAAACACACAGCCAAGCAGGCCTGAGATGCAGCTACCTGGAGGCCAGGGCAGGAGACCACAGGGTGGGGCCACCTACAGCCTGGTGAGCCCTGTCTCAGTGAAAACAGACTAGGGCTGGGCACGTGGCTCAGTGTGAGAACGCCTTCCTGCCTTCCTCGCCTGCTCCAGGCCCTGTGCTCCATCGCCGGGACCACAGACAATCCCCTCCTAGGTTCCTCCTGACACTCTCTACACCAGGTGTCCCCAAGTGCCGTCTCCTTGGTTTCCTCCCTCAGCCCTCACATCAGTACTTTGAGAGAACAAACCAGAAGGTATTCTAGAATGCTTTTCCCACCAATCAGAAGTAACGGAATGAAACCCTAGCGCTGGGCAGGAGAAACAGAACTCTGTTCCCTCATATGCCTTCATGCCCTATACCCGAGTAGTTTTCGTCTTAGAGCTGAATTTCTGATTTCCAGCATCCCCAAACTGTTTCACAAACATCCTTTTATTTTATTTTCATATATAAATTTTTTTTATTTGTGATTAGTCATCCTTTTATTATTAAGCCTTACAGTACGTAGTCAGGTGAGTATGTGTTTTCATTTTTTTTTTTTTTGAGTAAACTGAACAAGTTAAAGATCAGACTACTTCTCAGTGATTCTAGGACTTTTGTGAGAAAACACATACAGGAAACTGATTAATAGAGCTTCAGAAACTATCTAACCCATCAGAGGGGGCCACCACTCGTGGTTCTTCCCTACACGTCCGTATGTGTCTTCATCTCAGTCCTGTGACAGGTCTTCTGTCAGCCCCCTCTGCCTCTTCCTTCCATGGTGGAGAGGGTGAAGGTCCCCCTGAGTGGCCTGGGAGGTATGTGACCATGCTGATGCCACTTTTTGGCCTATATTGTCATAATGTTTAACATTTATGATGAAGGAAGTTTTAATTTGTTTAGGCTTCTTTGTTTTTCAAAGCTCTTTTCAAGAGCAAAGGAAATATTCAGAACAAAATTATCTAGTAGGATTTTCTTCCATCTCTTCTACAGGGAATCCCTTTTTGCCAACCTAATGAAGCATTCAAAGTCATATGACTCTTTTCAAGATGAGCTTGAAGATTACATTAAAGTGCAGAAAGCCAGAGGCTTAGAGCCAAAGACTTGTTTCAGGAAGATGAGAGAGGGCTACCTGGAAACCTGTGGGCACAGAGAGGAGGTCGACTCCAGAGCCAGGTACAGAATGTCTGACCAGAGACCACCACCTGGACTTGTCCAGACCCACCCAAGATCATGCAGTACTCTACAGATAGTGGACGGCCAGTTACCTCAGTGCCTGCCAGCTCAGGACGGCAGGCTGAGACCAGAGTCCCTGAGCATCTCTCAGCTCCCCAAGCACTGCTTCTTAGGGACACCAGTGCCCAGGAACCTTAGTCAGCGAGAGTACAATTGTGGCTCTTATGACTTGGAGTCCAGTGTTCACAGGCACCTCTCTTCAGGAAACAGCCCCAGCGCCCGTCCAGCCGGCCACAAGCAGGCGCATCAGAAGAGGAAAAGGCACCCCGAGGAGGTTGGAGAGGAGGCAGAGGAGAAGCAGCCCAAGCACCGTAGAAAAAGAGGTTCTGAGGAACTGGGTTTGGGCAGACACAGGAGCATCCAAAGAAAGAAAGCAAAGGTGGAGACGGAAGCCACGCAGGTCAGTGCAGGAAAGCCCAAGAGCCGGAAGGAGAGAAAGAGCCGAGCGGCGGCCTCGAGGAAAAAGGACCGCAAGCACAGAAAAGCCAGCAAGGACCAAGGCCAGGAGAGGACCGAGGAGGAAATGCTCTGGGACCAGTCCATCCTCGGGTTCTGAAGCAAGTGCCGGCGCTGGTCCTCCGGGGTGGCGCTGAAGACAGGGTTGCAGAGCTGGTTATGGTGCTGGTATACACAGGGCTTCCTTTGTGATCAGGCCCTGTTAGATTCCTACCAGGCCACAGACGTGCAGCGTTTCGTGTGCCTGCTCCCCAAGGGGGAGTCACCGTTTCTCCTTTTCTAAAAGCACTATTATGTTGTTCTTACACAATGGGTTTCTCTTTAGGAGAGTGATTCTGCTTTTATTCATCAAACTGCTAGGATGGGATTATTTCCCTTGGGAGATCATTTATTTTAAATTTGAGGATGAATAGACTTTGCAGAATCTGTTTCTTGGTTGGGATTGTTTTAGTTTTGAGGGGGATTTTTTTTTAAGTTGATTGATCTTTCTCTATGCAGCAATTTAGATTTTTTTCCTTTGTTAGCGCTAATGGCATTATATTTTCTAGGTTGGAAAGTGGAAAATAAATATAATAATAGTAAGATAATGTTTCATATAGTTTTAAAAGTTTTGAAGCGTCTCAATAAAAAATCAGTTTATATTCTGGAAATGTTTATAATAAAGTGTTCTAATTTCTACACGTTGTTCTGTGTCAGTGGTCTGTTCCCCTCAGTGATGAGTTTCCTTGGCGAGTGGAAGAGCAAAATAACAACAGGACAGTTTGTACGTAAGCAGCCAGATCTTTGGAGTGGGACACTTCAGAGTTGTAGAAGGTCTTTATCTTCTATACCAAGCATATTCATATTTGAACTCAGTTTTCAGAAGAGAAATGTGTGACTAATTTTCCAGATAGTTGACCCTGAAGAGATGGGAATGTTTAAGGTGAAATGCCATTCATTCCCCCATCCTGACAACGCTGTAGGGACATCAGCAGACACCAAGTGCTGGGGAGCCTTCCGAATGGCTCAGGTCCAGTAGGCAGCACCTGATGAACAGTCCACACTGCAAGTATCATGCAGGTCCTTTGTAAATGGGATTAAATCATGGAAATTGGGCAGGGGAAGGCTATATACGTGATGCTGATGATCTTGAGGAAGCCCTGTGGTTTGCGCAATCTTTTTGAAAAATTTTAGGATAGGGAAAAAAAAATTTGTAGGATGGAAACATTGCCCTAAAATATGAAGGGAGGCCTTGTTCTCCACCCTGTTCAGCATACACGGGGCTATCAGTGGTGCTGCTGTGGCTGAAGCTGAGATTTCTTCGGGCAGCGCTCTCTCCTCTTCTGCCCTTTCAAGGGTAGCACTTCCCAAGAGCAGAACCTAAGCTGACTGGGAAATGGGGGAGAGAAATTCTGGCTAGATTTGAAGGGAAGTGTCAAAACTGGAGTTTTTGTCATAACACACGTGAACCAAGACTGAGAGCACCAGGCCTGAGGGGTGCCAGGAAGGAACCTGGGACAGTGGGCTGGGGGCTGTCTCCACCCCAGGCTGCACACTACCTGAGGAGGCCAGCCAGTCCACACGGGATGAGCTGTAGCTGGGTGGCGTCGGATCTGTGGGTGGGAACAGGCCTTGGGAAGACGTGTCACTAGGGGTCAGCTCCCACTGGAAGGTGAGGGAGCAGGAGTGTGTCCCACAGAGGTACTGTGGTACCCAAAAGTCCATAGACGAGCATATCTCTGGGTGAGGATAGAAGGAGTCTGGAGCCAAGCTGGGAAGAGCAGAGGTGTCCACAAGGCTGTGTTATGGAACTTGGATTTGTCCTGCGATAGACATTGAAGGCCTTGAGTTCCAGTATTTAAAAGACCACTTCCCACAGATTCTGGACCCATTCACCCCAGACATTCTGAAACTTTGGCTTTAGTGGATCCTAGAGTGTGACTGGAGGGAGCTGGGTGTCTGATGCCCAGAGCTTGGGCCATGAGAACATGAGGGCTCCTGAAGGACAGCTGGATGGGTCAGGGGGCGTTCACAAAGCCATAGGCATCTTCAGTGGCTGGGAGAGACATGACTACTAGGCAGTGTCCCCAGACCCTAGATTGAAGAACTTCCTCCTGAGGAGTTAGGGGACAGGGAAATAGACCACTCCTGAAAAAGCACCCCACTGAGGTCACTGCATTACACCTCCTCTATTACCTGAAACTAAGTTTGGGGGTTAGGGCAGGCAAGGCAAACCAACACCAGAAAGGTCAGGCGGGAGGCTGTTTCAGGGTCCCGGAAAGAGACAGGGTTGGCCTGACCAGGGCTGGGCAGTGAGGTGGAGGCAGCAGTGATAACCTACCTCCCACTCCACTAGGGAGATAGATGCCTCTGTCTGTCTGCCTCCTGCACACAGCCCCAGGTTCCCATTGTTACAGGGAAGACACCCTGCTCTTCCTGAGACTCCCCCCTCTCCTCATGAAGACACCCAGCTCTTCCTGAAGACACCATCTCTCCTCATGAAGACACCCTGCTCTTCCTGAAGACACCACCTCTCCTCATGAAGATGCACTGCTCTTCCTGAAGACACCCCATTTCCTAATGAGGATGCCCTGCTCTTCCTGAAGACACCTCTTCTCTTCATGAAGATGCCCCACTCTTCCTGAAGACACCCATTTTCCTCATAAAGATGCCCTGCTCTTCCTGAAGACACCTCCTTTCCTCATGAAGACGATGTGCTCTTCCTGAAGACACCCACTTTCCCCATGAGGATGCCCTGCTCTTCCTGAAGACACCTCCTCTCCTCATGAAGACGCCCTGCTCTTCCTGAAGACACCCCCTTTCTTCCTGAAGATACCTCCTCTCCTCATGCCGTGAACTCTATACCTTTTACCTCCTCAGGATTCATCTCTGTCCTGCACTGAGGGTCTGTACTGGACTCTCCTATCCATTTGCTTCTGTCTCCCTTTCAGAAGAAAAATATAAAAACTCCCTCAACCACTCTGCAATGTAGAGGAAAACAAACTTGATTCCTCCCACCCTACACTCACAACACAACACAAGGTCTCTGTGACCTCTGGTCACCAAGAAGTGTGAGGACTTCTCCCACCACAAGCCATCGCCCGGTTCTCTAGTTTTTGCAGCAGACACCAGCTGGGTGTCCTCTGAGCCAGTTCATCTCTGACACTATCCACCCAGGATGAGGGCTCAGTTCCCAAGACATCCCTCAAGTTGATGCGAATCACAGGCCCCAGGTGTACCTGTTTTACAGTGACCTGCCATAGTTGGGTTCCCTCCACTCCCCCAATGGATTTGGTTAATTTTCTAGAATAGCTCACAGATTCGGGGAACTCTTGACTGATGCTTACTGGTTTGCTATAAAGGGTATTATGGATGGAGTCGTGCATGGTGTAAGCCTGTGGGAAGGGCAGGAGCTTCCCTCCCCCAATGTGTGCTACCCAGGAACCTATGTGTATTGAGGTACCTAGAGGCTCCCCAACCTGCAGCAGCGAGAGTATCCTCATGAGACATCTGCCTGTCTGCACCTAGGCAGCACCACCAAAAATGTTTCCCTTCGGATGAATTCCAAGGAGTGGGATGGCTGGGTCATGTGGTAGTTCCACTTTCCGCCCCTCAATGTTTATGGCAGCGCAGTTCACAACAGCCAAATTACAAAACCAGCCCAGGAGCCTGTCAGCAGATGAATGGACACAGAAAATGTGGCACCCATACACAGTGGAGTTCTGCACAGCCATAAAGAAGAAGGAAATGATGATGTCGGCTGGTAGTGGGGGAAAGGGAGGTCGTCATGCTGAGTGGAACGTCAAGGGTTGGACTCTTTCTCTCATATCCGGAAGCTATAACAAAATAAAGGGAAGCTGGGCCGGTCCCACTAAATAGAGGGGAGATGGATGGAGTAGAGGAAGCGGCTTGAGGGGGGAGAAGTGTGGAGTGAAGCTAGCGGGCCATGATGTGCTGTGCTCTCCTGTGCGCATACTCCAGGGAGGACTTCACACGTATGTCTATGAAGCTCCAACTTAACAAACAAGAAAAGAATAAACAAGTGGACCAGAGGAGGGGACAGAGGGGCACAGGGGAGGAAGTGGAGGTCCTAGAGGCTGACTTAGAGTTAATTAAATTCTCTGCATGTTTGATTGTGTCACAATGAACTACACTCTGTAGAACTAGAACACACTAATAAAAACATGTTTTAAAAGGGGTTCTTCTGCTTTTACCTCAAGTTTTCTGATACTCAAGGCCCCTTACAAGTACCCAGGGTTTAAAGAGCAGCTGGGAGTGGGAACTCAGACCTGGGAAGGGAGACTGGAGCAGGGAGGTGGTCTCACAGTCAGGTGGCTGAGGGGGTCACTTAACCTTTATTGAGCCTTTATCACTAAATGATGTTTGTGAACTGTCTCACCTGAGGAGGTGATTTGAAGATAAAATGTTCCAGTTCCATGCATTAGTTAGTTGAATCAGAATATCCAATACAGGGCTGGGGGGAGCTCAGTGGGAGAGCATGTGCTTACACGCTAAAGGCACCAGAAAGTGAAAGAATCCCCCACAGAAAGACACTTCGCCGGGAGAATTTCAATTTTATTGCAAAAAGCTGTGTGCTTATATAGAACTAAAGGGGAGATGGTAGGGCTTAGATAAATGGCAGGCCACCCGTTTATTGGCAAGTTCTTCCAGATATCAGTTCCCGTGCCCAGGAATTAGTTCTCATTGGGGCTAAGGTTCCCCGCCAGCGAGGTGGCGCCGGCAGGAGAATTCACAAGGGCGGGAACTTTTCGAGCCACTGCAGAGAAGAAGAAGATAAGAAAAAGAAGTCCTTAGGCGCCATGTTGGGGTTTTTTTCTCTGGGGTATGGCTGCCATTTATACTTTTCCCAACATTCCTCCCTTTTTGTTTTCTTAGGAATTGGGGCGTCGTTAGTCAGATCCGGCTGCTTCCTGCTGGGTGGGGGCGCCGTAGGGCCTAGAAAGGGAAGTGAAGGAATTTTCAGGGGGCAGGTCTGGGGATATCATGGCAGCCAGAAATAAAACCCAGTGGCTATAGACAGCTACTTCCGTAGGGGTGAAGTCTATGAAAGTTCCCTGAAGCCACAAGTCGTCGATGGCATCGAACCAGTCCTGGATGGAGGAGATTGTTGGTATCAGCCACTGGTCCTGTAACAGAGACTCTAGGAAATACTGGAAGCGTTGCCTGGACATGGCGTCACCAGCACCTGAGGAAGATCAGAGCAAATAAAAACAGAATGAATATAAAAATTAAAGCAAAGGTCAATTTTTGGCAGAAGTTCCATGTTGGGGGACTGACAGAGAAGAGGCCAAGGGCCATGAGGAGGCTTAAAAGGACATAAAGACTTATGAATCCAGGATGGCAGATTAAGAGGTTCTTTGGGCTCGTTGTCTCCCGCTGTCTGATGTCCGTTGCATTCCATCGTGCCTGGTAGGGAGCTTCAGCACTGAGTGAACTGTTCTCTTGGAGATGTTGGGGGTTCATCAATCATCAGAGGCTGGTAGTGCCTAAACAGAAGCTGGTTGAAAGTTTGATTAGAAATTTTCTGCAATTGGGTTTGAAGGAACTTCATTATGCAGGGCAAGAGAGCACAGAAAAGGAGCATCCCAATAAGGGGCCCCAAGATAGGTAGTAAGTACGTGGCAAGAGAGGATTGGAAGAACCCCATTGTGGGATTAGGGGAGGTGGGTTTGAGCAATTGGGTC